GCTTACCGCCATCTACTCTCAGCAAAACTCTCGTGTGCTCCTTGTAGAGGGTAAATATTTTTTTTAATTATGTGATAGATTTTCACCTCGTATTTCTAGTATTGCTTATTTCGTTAATTTCCCCACTTTTCGATAATCTTCATTCCAAATACTCCCATAGATTCTTTATTATACTAGTTATCGCTTATACTATAAGATGGTTTATTTTTACCCTTTTGAGAACAGTTTTTCTATTAATTTTATTAAATCCTATCATTAACAGATTAAATTTGGGATACAGTGAATAGGGCTTTAAATCTCGGTAGATCCTTTACACTCAATGAAGTCACCTTAGGTTGTTTCAGGTGACGTAAGGCCTGTTATTTGCACTTCTTAGAATGAAATAAGCAGAATTCCTCACGATATTATAGACTTCCACTTATCAATGTTCCCCTTGAAGCTTCATCTTCTGGACTGGATTGCAGTTTATACATCTATTGTTCCTTATCAGTACGTTCAATAGGAGTTGAAACTGTGACTCGATAGTTTAATTTTAACACAAGACTTCGTTTCAAATATCATTTGTGGTGTTTATGGGATCCTGGCGGGACGACCGATCTAGAAGAGTGAAATTCAATGGCATCGTGAGATATTTTACCAATTTCATTATGGGAAACTTAACTATCAGGCTTTGCTTCGCTTAAAGCGACCTAAGGTGATCTTAGTTTGCACTTTGCGACAGCTGTTACTAAAGCTTTACTAAGATACTCGTTCAAACCATCATGGTGAATCTCTGTATATTGACTAATTTTTAATCCTTACTGAGCTTGCCTTCATGACAGGATAATATTAGTAGAATAGCTGAAAATAACCTTCGGACATCCATTAACTTGCTTATCTTCACTTCAATCATCATTCAATCTTAGATCATAATTAGTGCGTATTATACTTCTTATGCTAAATAGATACTTGCTTCTAATCTTCTCTTTCCAGTCCTTACTGGGCGTGTCGTCGGCCGCCTGAGCTTCAGCCTTGATTCTTCGATTAGCTCCTGCCAGCCCAGGTGGGCATGCCCTGGCCTCTCAGGATTAATGAAAGCCGGAATACCTCTGCAGGAACTGGTTGATGTCGCCAGTATTGAACCTCAACAGGCCGGAGACAGGGGCATCCTGCTCTTCGCTTTCGTTACTCGTCAGCGCGGCATCTTCGCTTTGAGGGCCCCTCCTGGACTCACTGCCTCTGGGCCTTTGATAACTCCGTCTGACCATGTCAGGTCAGCACCGTTTACCACATCCGAGACACAGATGATCGAGTGCATTACTTTTTTGTGGGGTTAATGATCATACATAATCTGTCTTGCTTTCTGGCGTCATTGCTCTGTTTTCAATACATTTTCTTCCAGGTTAAGACTACAATTTTTCGTTTATAAATAGGCTTATTACCCTCAATGAAATAAGATGAGTGCATCTCATAAAGATAAAATTGTCTTCATGTGTGACTGGACTTTCCATTTCTAAGGATAAGTTGGTTGAAGGGAATTCGTAATATTTTGATCTCACCAGAAACTGAAGGAGGATTTTCTTTGGGCAAAGACTGTTGGATTGTGTTAAGCAGTCCTCTGCTCACTGTCCTGCGACTCCTATTAACCCGTGTTATGTTTTCGTCTGTTGTGTGACAGACAGAGCAAGAAATCTTCAACTATCCTCATATGAACCCTAACCTACATCTTGTGTTTTCAGAGGTTTGGAAGGTCAATTGACACTAACTCATTAAAGGATTTTTTTAAACCCAACTTTTATTCATCCTCAACTCATGGTTAGAGTCCGTTAATTTTTCTAATTAATAATTATTATAGAAATTATTTGACCTTGTTTTCGCAACTTGGTCATATTGGTAGGAAGACTAATAGGAAACCACCTTGTCCTGAGTCCATTGTATGCATAATTATTTTCAAAGTCGGAAATATTTGGCTTTAAAACAATGCTCTAATTCCTTTTTTTGTTTTTACCTCTAACTCTCACTCCTAATTTAACCGTCTTTTAGCCTCCCCTCATTCAAGTCAGATTTGAATGCTGATTGCCAGGTCAAATTATCGCCCATGGCGCGTGTGCTGACCTGTGTTTGCGAAGCGGCCCGAATATTTTGGATGGGGTTCAAGGTAAAGCATACCTGTATCACTTTATTGCGCCTAAATGTCAGATGATTTCTCATCTATAAAAAGTAACCGAATATATAATTAATTTATTTATTTTCTTTTTCAAACCTAGGTTCGTAAGTGCATTCAATACTTTTCCTAAATAAGTCTAAATAAATTTAGACTTGCCGTTATATAATTAAACATTCATTTGTTCCAAATTAGTGCCTGGAGTATTTTCCATCTTTCATATGTCAGCCTTAAGCATGGATACTTTATCCAGTCCCC